TTATAAATGTGGAAGTTTCAGACATACAGCAGCCTCTGTACAAAGCTGGCAGGGCAGCACAGTCATAGCCTTGCTAAAAAAGAGCTTTTCATGACAGACAGCCCTGAGGAGTGTTGGAAGAGGAAGTGCTCCCTGAGACATCGAAACCCATGAAGAGTCAAATTAAAAACAAGTGAGGAACTGTAAAATGACACACTCCTAAAGCCATGAGCATGGCTGTTTTCCTGGAATAGCAGTGGCTGTACCAGCAGCAGGGCAGGAGGGTTCTGGGGTAGCAACCCCAGAGCCAGGCAGAGCTCTTACACAAAGAGGGAAAAATATTCCTAACACACACTAAACTAAACCCCAACTCCCATGGTTCTGCATAAACAAGGAAGAAACGTTGATTCCTGAAAGGGTTTTCCAAGGCACATTCGGGTAGTCTACAGTTTTAAGTATTAGAGATAAAACAGCCTTTCTCACCCAAAATAAATCCTGAGTTTCACGCTACTACTCGAAAAGGAAGTGCTGAGGAAAGCTTCAGCACATAGGAACACTCCCAGGATTTCTGAAAAGAGTGGAAACAGCCAGCTCTGGGAGCACGGCGACATTCCAGAGCACACTTACCCACAGATACTGCAGGAACTTCAGCAGACGTGGACAGTAATAATACTCCATTTTCCACAGCTCCGAGTTAACGCCAACCCATCCCTGTTCCAGGCAGCTCGCAGCTCTCCCCGCCTCCAGCACCAGTTAAAAGCAGAGTGGAGCAATTAAAAACACCATGAATAATGTAATAATGTACCGAGTGTGTCTGGCCCCACGTCACCACCACGAGCTGGGGCTCCTCAGGAGCAGTCGCTGAGCCACGGGCAGCACGTGATGTTAACCACTTGTTATTGAGCAGCCCAGTGCTCCCAACGCCGTAATCCGGAGTGGCTCAGGCTGGAATTAGTGACAGGACTTTGGGTTTTGCAGTAAAGGCCCTCCAGAAGGAAAGGGAAGCTCTAAACCCCCTCAGTTACGAAACGCTCTGAACACCGGCGGGGTCGCTCGCTGACCTTGCTTTGGGTGATGTGCAGGAAAGACAGGAACCCACACATGTAACAAGAGGAGCTGCTGGTTTTATGTTCTTTGAATATAAAAATGTCTTTTGTGAAGGAGAAGAAATAGACACAACCAAGTGGCTTTTTATACACCCCTGGAATGTTCCCAGGGAACGAAAACTGCCAAAAAAGGAAGAAAGCCCAGGCAGAGCTTTACCCACCCCCGGGTCGTCCTCCCCAGGCTGGGTCTAAAATAGAGTGGTGGAGTTGTTGGACATCAGCAGTGGGTGGTTTGTGAACAGCAAAAAGGGGAATTGTAACACTGCCTTTTTTTTTTTAATTTACGTCCTTTTTTTGATAGCAAAAGGGAAGATAAGTGACAGGAGCCTGTCCAGGGAAGGCTCCTGCAGCATGTCCCCTCCCAGCACTGCTCTCACCCTTCCCAGGGAGGGACAAGGTTGAGGTGACACAAAACAGCTTCCAGGATGCTGCAGCCTCCTCTCCTTGAAATTTTGATACTTAAGGAAACTACCTCTCACTTTTCTAATCATCACCTATAAATTCCTGTAGACCCCAACCAAAGTATTTTGATTTTCTTCCAGGTTGCGTCAGTTTTTGGGGTAACAGAACAACTCAAGAAGGGTTTCAGAAGGAACAAAGCTCCAGTTTTAGAGGCTTTACACAATCCAGAAAAAGAGAAGGTGTGGTTTTCAGTGGGCAGGAGACAGACCTGTCATGGGCAGAACTGAAAACAACTGGTGAACTGCAACAAGCCAAACCATAAATTCATCTGCACATGTTTATAAAATATTTATCTTCTCTCCCTTGCACTTCATTTCCAAGATATTTTAGGATTCAGCTCACGATTTTCTTCAACAAATCCTTCTCCACCCACACATCTCAGTCTCATATAAATGCATCTTTCTATAGAGACCATTAGAGAGATTTTCCTCCCTAAATGACAAAAAAACTCCAGACTTTAATATAAAATAAATAAATAATATGTTGAGAGACTTCAAAATAACTCCTGCCTACACCAGTTCTAGTAGCAGTGCTCTGTTCTAACTCCCCAAAGCAGAAGTTTGGGTTACAAGCTGCTCCATCTCCAGCTGAAGGTGCAAATCCCCCAGCCCCACAGCACAACTGCAGTTCCTTTATTTGGAGGATGAGTCCAGCACACATTCCTCAGGTTTTCATTCCCAACACTCTTATCAGTCTGCATGACTCAATCAGGAATCCAGGCTTGTGATTGAATGTCAGCTCTGATGGCATCACAAAATTTATGGCAACACCTCCCGAGGTCGTGGCTGCCCCTGGATGTGCAGGTGTGGCACTGAGTGGGACCAGCCCCACATCCAACCACAGGAACCAGCCCAGAGAGGGTTTGACTGCTCAGTCTCACACCTGTCCCTCCAACTGATTCCAGACATAAAGGAAAAGAGTCTCCTGCAGGCTCTGAGATATGCTGCTGAGTCAGTGAGAGAAACCCCATGCTGTCCAAAGCACAGAATTTAATTTTTTTACCTACTTTGTGCTGCAGAAGGGTTAAGAAAGAGGGAAGTACCAGCCATAGTAATACCACAGATTATGGCAGTCCAGCAGTGATGCCTTACTCTGATTTTTAATCAATACAAACTTAAAGTAACTGAACAATGTGATCTAAAGGATTAAATCTCCAAAGTATCATCCTTTGCAATTTCAAACAGCAATCCCACATTACCACTTGTATTTTGCAATGGTTGATTTCAAAGTCATCCTATGTAATGTTATAAAAGCCTAATTCTCTGGAATATAATCACAAAGAAATGGCTTCTCCAGAGATAAAATGATACTACCACACCTTGCTTTCATTTGGAGTTGTGTTTATCCATAAGAACCTAGCTCATCAGCTGTCCTGGAAAATGCCATTCAAGAAGTTGTTCACCATCACAGATGTGGAATAATGCAACAAATGGATATTCTTGTAAATTTGTTTGGCAAATATAAAAGGTTATCAATATCAGTTCTTCACTGCTTTCATGGTGAATGTGAACCAAAAGGAATTGTTTATTCTACAAGACTTGTCACTTTGAGCACTCAATCTCACTAGAACAAGACCAATACAATACCAATACCTCACTGACCAGCAATATGGACTGGAGAATAGATTTTGTCAATAAGCCACAAGGAAAAAATAAGTAACTCCCCAACCACATAGACCAGAAATCATTCAAAGCAAACAGCAGCATGATGCTGCATTTCCACCTAATCCCCCTTTCTAGCTGCACCGAGGGAAATACAGACTGCGTTGGGATTCCAGGGAAAAGGGGGATTTAACTGTGACTCCCGTGGCTCTTTCCTGACCCCTCGTGTCTGTGCACCTCACACAGCTTGGATGTGTCTCCAGCAGAGGGGAGTGTTGGAACGCGCTGGCAGAACTCTGACTCTGCACCCAAAATCTCTGTTTTCTCCAAGGGAAACAAAGGCATGGCCTTGGTGCAGAAGAAATGGTTTGGTTTTATGTAATCTTCTGCAGTACCTCTGTGAGGCTTTGGAAAACGTCAATATAGTGAGTTTTCCACCTCCCAAATGCAAGTCAAAGCCTCTTCCATGCACTCACTCACACTTTACACCCAGGAGGAGCAGGCTGCCCTCTGGCTCCCATGGCACTGCAGTGTCACACCCCAAAGCAACACACAGGAGCAAAGCACTCGGATCCTCCTGAATTCCACACAGGTCAGCTTTCTCTTTTCACGGAGCTGAGGCTCCACTTGGTGAAGCTGAAGGATTATTCTGAGTAACCTCCCAACCAACAATGAAGTTGGAGAACAGCAGCTGTATTTATCTGAGTACAGCACCTGAACAGTTCAGTTATCCAGCCCTACTACCAACAGCCCTTCTGTCCCACATTTCCTACCTGGTCAACACCACCTTTACATATTTGCACTCTAAGCTGATGGCACATAACTGGATAAATGTCCATTCTGTCAATAACCCAAATTCCTTAAGATGAACCATGCTAAGAATGGGAAAGAAAAAGGGATATTAGCCCTTGGAAACCTTCCACGAAGCTTAAAGATTAGAACTGAAGAACAATTTGATCCCTTCCAAAACTCCGATTAGGAAACTTGTTTATAAAATCCTTTGAGGTTTAGGTGCTCTCTTTTTCTTTGCTAGAAGGAAAGAAAATCCTGAGGTTTTTTTTTATATTTGTGTGTTCTCTGCTGAAGAGCAGCAAACAGCAGAGTGAGCCACGACAGAACAGGGCAGTGCAGCACCTCACTGCAGAAACAGGACAGGGAAGGTGACCTTGGGACAGTCCATGGGACAACATCCTTCAGTCTCCACTTTCCAAATCCTTTACTTCCCTCAGGAAACGTTGATATTTCATTTATTGCACATCTTTTGGAACATCCAGACCTTTGTTTTGTATTTCTCAACAAAAGCTGGATGTAGGATGCTACTTCACAACATAAAATTCCTCTGAGGGCTACAGTAAGAATATCCTTCTAAAACTGAGGAGAACAGCATGTACCAACATCAAGCAGGAATTCACCTCAACAATTTGTGTGTTAGAGACAAATCAAACCACCCAAAATGTCAGCTGTGATCTTTCACAGAAACTCTTCTCTGTGTGTTGCCAACAGAAAGACAATTAAATCCATCATTTCTCAGGCTGGGACACAGTTCTATTTGTCTGCACAAGCTGAGAAAATAACAAAAACTGTAGTGCTCTAGAGCCATCTTGAGTTCAGGATGAAAATTCTTCACTCAGAAAGAAAACTGAACAAGCTGCAAGGCTGAGGCTTTGTGCTGGGAGCTTTGGCTTGGAGCACTGGGGTGGGATCCCAGAGAGGGGCAGCCTCACCACTTCAACCCCTCAGCAAATGCTTCTCAGCTTGGCAGATACATCCTTTAGCACAGCCCTTTGCAAAAAGGAAAACAGAGCTGCAGCTCCCTGATCCCACCCCAAACCCCTCCGCCAGGGTCACGTACCATCCCAAAATCTGCTCTTCTCTCCTTGTAGAAAATGTGGTGGCTCCTCTGTGTAGACAGTGGGGAAAAGTCTGTTCCCTCTGTTTTGTCTGAGCTCTGCTTGTTCCACTCTTTCCTGGGAGCCTGTAAAATACAGATGTGAATGTGATTAAATATAAATGCATACGGACATACATATATACATTATATATGTATATATAAAAAATATGTCTTTCAGAAAAAAAAAACCAGGAAACTCAAAGCTGAAAACACAAAATGGAAAAACAAGATAGCCATGAGCATGCTACACTTTAATCACAGAATTATAGGACCACTAAAGTCTTTTCCAACTAAATCCAACCTCTGGATTTCATTCACATGTCACTGTGTGCAGGGAATCTCTTGCCATTCACCCAAATCAGGAAAGCAGTGGAGTTTCACAAACAATTGAAGGCCATTCACCCAGTAAAAATAAAAATAAAATTTGCTTCCTTTAGATAAAGACAAAAAACAAATAGAGGTCCAAAAAGATCACTGCTGACAATTTGTAAAATAAATCCAAATTACAGCATTACAAAAATAATCGGCACACTTTTTAGAGCTTTTTCAAGCTCTCCACAAAAACATCAGTAAGTATTTCTAGACTTGAAGCAAAAATAAGGAAATCTATTGCAATAGCCATTGCTCAAGAGAACCCAAAAAGAAGCAAACTCCAGTGAAAAGTATGTATTTGGTGCCTTGCAACAGAGCACTGAGAAGTGCTACAAGGACACAATAAAATCCTTAATAAAGAAAATCTCAGTTACAGTTACATGAAACACTTGGCCACCATTTGAAAATACCTTTTTATCCTCATGGAAGAGTGGTTCTGACTGAGCTGACACCTTGTGCTTCCAGGAGTTATCCACACTTTCCAAGGGGAAGCTTGGCCTGGATCGATGCAGGTCCTTCCTCGCCCTCATCTCCTGCATGAGGGGCAGGCTGTCCCTTCCTTGGCGGCATTTCTCCGAGTAGGATCGTCTGAGATCTGCGGGGACAGTCCCAAACCCTGACATGCAGCCCTTCCAATCGCTCTTACTTTTGAAAGAGTCGCCCTCAAACATTTTATTTGTGCTGTCCTTGCTTCTCAGCGTAGCGCTCCTCACTATGTTTCTGCTCCAGTCGACCTCTGGAGACACCTCCAAGATCTGTTCTTTTGTCACCAACTTCTTCTGCAAGAGCCCATCATCAGCCTTTAGGGACAACTTGGAGGCCAGATTGACCTCCAGCCTCTGCTCTGTACTCACTGCATTTATGGGCTGCACCTTTTCGATGACAAATTTTGCACCCTGATTTCTGGAGGTCAGGTTCACTTCCTCGCCCTCATCAACAATGAAAGTTTTCTTCCTAGCAAATTCCACAGGTGAGTTTACCAACTTCTCTGGAAAAATGCTGCTGGGGTTTCCCCAGTAAGGAGGGCTGACCTTTTTGTCTTTGGACTTCTGCTTATCAAATTCTGGGCTCCGTAATTCCAGTTTCTCTTTGCTCTTTTCATTTTGGATTAGTTTCTCTGGCCTGTGCTGCTCTTCTGCACGTTCACCTGGTTTGTTATTAACTGAATAGTGGTCTGATGCACTCTTCCACTCGTTCCAGCTGTAGGTAAGAGTCATCCTATCCGACACATTTCTTTTGTTCTTGGATTTCTCCCTGCTCAGAGAGCCGAGATCTTCAGAGAGCTTCTCCTGAACTTTACTGGCCTTTGCTGATTCTTCTTTATATTCTGCCATAAGCGCATCGATATCGAGAATTTGGGACCTGTACCCATCCTCAGCTTTCCTTCCAGGCAGATCAGAATTATTGTCACTTCTTTTCTGGGGGCCCAGCTCGCTGTCCTTGCGCACCTGCACGGAACGTGGCGGGGACCGGGGTTCGTGGTAAGAGGAGATTTTCCTTCTGCCACTCTTAAGAGCAGCTTGAGCTGAATTTTCCAGATCATGATTTAACAGGAAAGCATCAACATCTATAATTTTCTCTTTAGAATGATCCAGACCTTTTTCATGATGCTGTTGGTTATCTTTCTTAGACAAATGAAAACCACCAAATGCAACATTTTTGGAGAAAACTGCATCTTTCTCAACTTCTTTGACCCAATCCTTGCTAATACGCACTTCCCAAGAGTCTTCTCTACAAGTTGAACTTGTCACATTTTTATTTGGTTGCTGCAATAAAGGCTTGGACCTTCCAGGAAAAACAGGGTCCAGATTAATTGCTGCTGCCTCACTTGAACTGGAAACCGTATTAATTTCACTTGCACTGGGAGCACCAACAAAGCTTTTCTCTTTTTTGATACCAGGAATCTGATAAGTCACTGCAAAATAAGTTGCCTTTGGCTCAAAGACAGAACTCTGATGTTTCATGTAATCATCAGGACTGCCAAGAACAGCTTGGTTAGCCTCACTCCCTTCCACTCCACCTTTGATATTTTTGCCTCTCTTTTTAAGTAAATTTTCATTCAATTGCAATGAATCTGTCCGGCTCAGCTTCTTGATATTTTCAGGAGTGAGCCACACAACTTCTTCCACCTTGAGTGACTCATGGGGCAAGGTCCTCCTCCTCCACCTTTCAGAAATCTTCAAGTCAGAAACACTACTTCTGCTTCTCCTGACTTTCTCTTCTGGATCTGCTCCTTGGAGTTTCTCATTGTTTTCAGGAGTTGCACAAGCCAAGCTAAACTCTTGCTCTTTGCAATTTAAGTCCAGACTTTTCCTCAACCCAAAGGCCCCAGACTCCTCTTTAGTAACATTCAGACCTTTTGTATCAGAGGGGTTGCTACTGGAAGATTTAAAATATTGCCCACTTGCAAGCACTGAAGCCTGAGCCCCTTGTTTATTGCCACTGGTGGAAATCACTTCACGATCCAAGTTGGTTCGGAATTCATGGATGTCTGTCCCACCTGCCCTGAAACTCCTTTTCTCAGAAGAGCATTTCACAACATTAATCCTCTCTGATTTCTCTACAGAAGAGACTTCACTCTTATCACCTTTAATTTCAGCATGTAGCTTGCTGACTTTTTCACTCATTCCCAAACCTTTACTTTTGTTTGTGGAATAAGGTATTTTCTCAGCTATAAACAGTGGCTCAGGATCAGTTTTATCAGAGTCTCTTTTCTGTTCAGGTAAAGTGCATTCACTGGAGAGAAAACCTGCAGGTTCTCTCAACACAACCTTGCTTGTGAGAACTTTTGCCTCTCTGGCTTCTGAAGAAATATTATCTTCTTTCAAGTAAAGAGTGTGACTACTTGCCTTAACAGATTGCCCTGTAGGTACAATGTCCTCATCAGTTTTATTCTCTTTCACAGATGATTTTCTAGTTCTGAGTGTCATGGCCTTTTTCTCAGGAGCCATTGTGACGGCTTCACTAAGAGCTCTTTCACCACATGTCTGAAAGATTTCATACCTGGGCTCTATTCTTTGGTAAATTTGAGAATCTTCTGCAGTTTTGGGAGCGGGTTTCTCACTTTTTTCAACCAAGGATTTTTCTAAGACAATCCCTGGACTGATTTTCTTGTCTTCACTTGAAGAAGCTGGTTTTGGACTTTTCTCTACAAGTGCTGGAGGCTTTGATGGATCAGGCTGCTTGTGATGCTCCTTTGCAGTGGTGCTTTCCTCCCCTTCTCCTACCCACGAGCGTCTGTGCCCCGAAACCACCAGGTCCTGCTTTGCCTCGGGCTCCTGGTTCTTTTTTGGTGCAGGATCAGCCCCAGAATGCTCAGCAACAACGTTGTGCTTCTGCACATTGTGCTCAAACAGGGTGGCCCGGACGGTTTTAATGAAGGGCTTTTCCAAAAGAGCTGGGTTTAATTTCTTTTCAAAGTTGCTCGTGAATGAGACAGAACTCTCACTCTGCTGTGAGAAATGCTGACTGTCTCCCAGGAAGCTTCCTTTCCTCTCCAGCTGATCAGGTTTATTGGTTATCTTTAAAACCTGCCGGGATTTCCAAGGCTTCCCAGGAGCAAATGCCTCGGTGGAATCTGTGCCATGGGTGAGCTTTAGCTCCTTGCTCTGCAACAACAAAATCCAACAGTTATCTGAGTTTAAAAATGCTAAAAAATGTCTAATAACATTTATTTTAAAACTTACTTGCACCTTCTTTGTGCAGCAGAGCCTGGACTAGTCAAACCCATCCACATTCCCTGAACACAAACTCCAATGAGACCAAGACTAAGGGAATGTGTAGCTCGAGCTCTTGAATCTTGATTTTAACAGAATTATCTCTCTAATAACCAGTTACATGGTCAAACTGCAAGGAACATGGAGATCTGAGTAAATATCACAGCTGGAGCTGCTCAGCTATGAGAAATGTTAAGCTGAGCCAAAGTAAAAAAGGAAAGATGAAAATTAGTACTTATTACCAATGCTTTGCTATTATCTACTCCAGGAAATACAAGCAGCATCCTAAAAGATGGTATTTTTAATAGCACTTGCTGAAAAAGCACAGCATGCAAATAATAAAGGGAATCAAAGAATATTAGAAGTCTTACAGGAGTTCAATCTTATTCAAGTTTAAAAATTTAAAACTCAGAGATTACTTAAGATTGTCTTAAAAAAAGCTGAGAACATCATAAAATTAACACTAAAGGTATTTTTAAATGAAGATTTTTAAGTCTGAGCTATATTCAAGGAATTTCTTTAATCCTACTTTATTGTCAGATTCTGAAAACAGCACTTCCATTAATGAAAGATTCTTTTTGGAACAAACTGCTCTCCTTGAAAATAACACAGAACTACAGAAACTTTGCACCTGTAGCTTCTCCTTACCACATACTCCTATCTTGGACAGGAAAAAAAGCCATGAAAACTCACTACAGACACCCCTAAACTACATTAAATCTTGTCTACCAAGAACTGTCACCAGAGAAATTCTGTTTTGCAACATTGAAGTGTTGCTTAGAAACAGAGAGAGCCTAAAGCTTCCACAGCAAATCCCCATTTTCCCTGGAACACTTTGTTGTCTAAACTGGTCAGGTAAATGTTGTTGAGACTGACCAAGTACCAGGCTGGGATTTACCACGAGCTGGTACATGGATGCAGGAAAGCACAATCTTAATGCTCTGCCTGGAGAAAATAAAGAATAATCACTGCACAAACCCACCACAGCCACAGGCAGTTCACTGGGGTTTCATACATCAAAAATCCCTTTAAAACAATGCACAGAATATTCTTCCCTTTCTACCACTCCCATACTGAGCAGTGTGTACGCGGAGCTTGACAAACTCAGCTGGCACAACACTCCTGAACTTTTCTCTGCACATCCTAAAGACAAACTCACACCAGCAAATCCACTGGGATTGTGTCAGCCCTAATACTCTCCATACCAATAAAAAGTCACTGACTGATAAAGCCACACACAACAGGACCTTGCACAGCCAGCCAGAGCCCCCCAGCTGCTGCCAGTTCCTTACTTTTGGATTTTCCTGTAGGTCATGGATAGAGTCAGCTCCAGCCTCCCCAGGTTTCTCAGGCTTTGTTTCAGCCCCTGATGTTGGACTTGAAAACCTGAAATAAAAGACTGGTGTTATTTCTTTAGTACAGCAGTGAGCAGGGTGGTTTCCTACCAAAGCAGGCTGGTAGTAATTATCCATCAAATCACATTTCCTAAAGGAGAACTATCACTATTTCATAATAAATTACTCTATTTGGTGGTTAAATTGTACCTAGACCAAATTAATTTCCAATATTAATATTAACATAACATTTTTAATAGAAATAATATTGTTAATTATGCAACTTAATTGTTAATAGAGGATTTACAGATACATAACAAGCTATAATATCCCTCACTGATAGTTACACTTCGATGCAAAGGTCATAATATTAGCAGCTTTATTATTTTCTTCAGCTGTTGTCAGAATATATTTAATTTTCTCTTTTTCACATTAAAAAAGGCAGGAAAGGAGCTTAAGAATAACAGTAAAAAAATCACATTAAGTGGAAGCAAAATGATCAACCTTTTCTTACTGGACTGAGAGAGGAAGTTTTACTGAACAACATGAAGCCAAGAGGATTAAAGAGAATTTCTCTGTAACCTACATCTTGGTTAAGTCTGCAGAGAGCGGCCGTGACTGCAGTGACCGGCGCAGATTTCCTCCCTTCACATCAGGATTTTCTGTTGTCAGCTCCTTGATCCTCTGCTGGATGGTCACACACCTATTTTCCTTCTCAGCATTTGCTGGGAGAAGCTCTGTATCCACTGTGGCACTGGGATTTTCCAAAGTAAACAAACTGATGTGTTTTTTAACACTACCTCTTAAGATATTATTCTCTTTTTCCGAGGAAGCTGCAGGACTTTCACAGCCCAGGAGTGTGTACGTTTCCTTCTGGTCTGGTTTTTTCCCTCCCTTATTAGTTCTGCTTTCATTGGTTGTTTCAGGGCTTCTTTCAGGACCATGCAAGTTAATAATTATTTCTGGCTTTGTCTCAATTTGTTCACTTTTAGATTTAAGTTTAGTTTCCCAGGTGTATTTCCCATTATTTAGAATGCCAATGTCCTGACTACTGCATTTCAGATTTGTTTTAGAGGAACTGCTTTTATTAAATTCAATTTCTTCATGTTTTGGCCCCGTTTCAGACTGATCATGACTACCCACATCAGTAAAAGCAATTATGGATACATTCTCCTTGCTTTCGTGAGATGAACCAGCCTTCTTGCAAGAAGAAAGATCTTTATGTTCAAATTTAGCTGTCAGGTCCATGGATAAAGGCCTTGGTTTTCTAACCCCGGATTTCTCCGTAGGAGATTTTTCCTCGGAAGCTTCCGCAGTGTGATGCTTTTGATCACGTAACGATTCCAGAAAAATGGCAGACACTGGTCTATGTTTTGCCCTTTGCTGGACATCAACAGAGAAATCAACTTGATTGTTGAGATTATTTGCATCATCATGGTTTTTCTCCCCAGGACCAACTTCACGAGCATCCTTCTTTTCACCGGTTTTGAGGGAGTTCCAGGATTCTGGTCTGAGACTGGAAGAAAATGACAAATGCCTATGGAGAGACCCCTCAGGATTCCTGGGTGTCTCTGCTGCTTTCACAGAGCCCTGGAGGTCCTTGAATCCCCTATGCTCCTGAGCCCTTTTCTTCTCCTGGTCCAGGCTGACCTTGGCTTGCTCGGGGCCCCCTGGCTCGAACAGAATGACCGTGTTGGCACTGGGGCCCGTGTAGAACGTCACATTTGTCACCATGTCAGTCTGATTTTCAGTGTCAATGGCTTTCTGATCCACTAAGGGAGGGACATTGCCACTCAGCACCTTCACGGAGGACGTCTCCTCAGTGGTCTTTCTCACCATGCTGCTGGATCTGAAGGCTGGGACGGGCGCTTTGACATTTGCAAAAGTATCTGAGCATTTCTCTTTACAAAAAGGCTTTGGGAAAAGTCTCGGCCTTGATCCCAGTGAGGGCATCGTTGCAGATCTCAAGGAATTCCCAAATTTCTTGTTTTCTTCGATAGTCAGCGATGCTGAGGCCTCCTTTGCCTTGTTGCTGGCATCTGAAAGCACACTGACATACACACGCTGTGCCTTCTCCTCAGCTCTGAGCTCAGCTAGGTCAGGGACTGTCGTCAAAGACGCCAAAGTAGAATTTATTTCTACTCTTGTTGCCATAGTTGGAATTACACATTCAACAGAACTGAAAAACTCCAGCAAGGAAAAAGAATCTACAAAAAAAAAAAAAGAGAGAAAAATGCAAGTATTGATGTAGAGTCAGCACAAACATCAAATAACATCATTCTCACATAAATTCACAAGGAAGCAAACTCAGATTAAGGTGCCTTTCAGATATGCTGATCCCAGAGTTTATCACACTGGAAGACATAGCGTTCTTTCTCCAAAAAGCAAGAAACACCATTATTTACCAGCTTGGCCCAACAACCAAATGCAATGGCAATAAACATATCCTGCAAATTTCCACGCTCCCACTTACCATAATTTGCTGCTGCAAGCAATCCATAGGGCCTGAATCCTTTCTCATAGTGACAACAAAAGCTTGGTCACCATGGGCACATTAAAGACAGGGAATGTGATCACTACAGAGACACTGCCCAGACCTCACCTGCAAATAAACAAAATATTCCAAATTAGGTGTGGCACATACCCAGACAATGCCATGTAGGACAAAAATGCATTCCAAGGATAAAAATCTGGTACCCAAGCTGAAGTGACCTCATGCAACTGTAAAAAGGAGAAGAATGTTTATTTTTCAAACAGCCATTAAATTACCACTTAAAGGTGTAACTGAAAGGTGAAGGGGGAATAACTCAGACTGCACCAAATCTGAACAGTTAAAACCACATTTAGGTAAGACTGTTTGCATATTCAAGTGCTGTCAATCACTGGTTAAACACAGAGCTTTGCATTACTGTAATCTCAATTACTGTAATTTACTTTCTATTGTAAAGCCCTTTTCTGGGGCAGCAGTCTGTGAAGTGCTACCTGAGCAGCTGACCTGCAAACCGCTGATTTTCCATCAAAATGGAACTTTTACCATGACAAAGCAGTTTCGTATCTCCTTGCTAGCAAAGGCAGGAGAAGAGCTTTGGCTTTAATTATATTCTCACTGCAGAGAAGTGGGAAAACCAGCAGTAATTAGAATTTCAGCTACAAGAAGTAACCTGAATCTTTCCTAACAGAAGTATATTTAAACTCGTAGCAGATGCAGGCAGCTATGTAAGGTTAGATTATTTTTTCCTTCAAAAGCTGTCATACTCTTCATTTTTAGAAAACTCGCACTGTACTTCATAACCAGGGCCCCAAATTTGTGTTGCCACCCTCTTGTCTCTTTTGGGCAGCCTTTGAAGGGGCAGTTTTAGATTCCTCTCACTGGAATATTGGTGTGAATTTACCACGCAAATAAACTTATCTGTAGATTCTGTGGAATATGGAGCTTCCTGCTTGTGATTATTAAATAAACCCAACCAGGATCTTGCCTTCCTCAGTCTGCAGTCTGGACAAGTGGTTATTTCACCTTCAGCTTCCCTTGACCAGACTTAGCCCATACTGGCACTGAAATTGCAGGGATTTATTTTTGTCCCTGCTTGTGCTCCCTCTCTCAGGCAGAGAATGAACTCCACTCACCTTGTCCGTTCCCTTTCATCTTCCAATCCACTTGGGAGTTCTGTCTCAACCACTTATCCCTGATGCCACCCCCCTCCTCCCAAGTCCATGACCTCGTCTTTCCAAAATAGCCACTAACCCAATCAGCTTATCCACATCAATCTGCCCCTTCCACCATCTCACAGATCTCCATGAGATCTTCCTCCCTCTCCCACTCCCAGTTCTAAGAAACGCCATGAAAATCCTATTTAAATGCTCTCACATTCCAAGGATGCAAAGGTTTGGGAGGTGCTCTAAAAGGAAACTTGCTGGAATGAGGCTGATGCTCACAGGCAATATTGCAAAGGGAAAAATTCAGCTGTGAAAACAGCATCGGTCTTGCAGTAGCTGAGAATGAATTCTCTCCTATCATTCTGTGGTCCCTGTTTCTCTGGAAAAGAAGAAGGGGGCACAGAGCTTCTTAAATGGACTAAAACTTGATCCTCAATGGAACGCAGAGCAGTGAATTTACAGCGTGGGACCTAATCCCTGGTAACAGAGCACAACTCGCTTCTCCAGCCAATACTCCTAACAGAAAATTTACCCCTTCCTTAGTTTCATTACACTGCAGTTTTACAGGACTCTATTTTCCCCTACATAATCTACCCAAGTCAGTTTTCATGTTTTAAATTCCGATACCTTACAACAGATATGAGGCCCCAAACAGACAAGTGTTTGAAAAAGAACAAAAATTTAGTGGAAAAAATAATCACCTAACTTTGAAAATGATAAAGCTCCTTGATACAAGTACACTTGATAAAGAGGAATCATGTAATCAATGCCAAGTGTAACATACACTAGACACTGTGTCTCAGTTTTGAAACATATCTTGTTTTAGATAAACTTGTTTCTTTCTTACTAAAATACCTCTAGTCCAGTTGGCAGCGTACAAAATTTGGGGCAATTTATAAAGATCAACTGCAAATTAAACTGCAGGAGGATTTCAGATGCTATTAATATTTAGTAATACTATTGTAATCATACTATTACAGTTGTAAATCCCTCACCATCACCTACATCATGTTATTCCCTCCCTGACATCCTCTGCCCAGGGACAGTCAGCCGAGCTGCCCATGCTGCCCCTGCATGTCCCCACCTTGTGTGGCAGAGCCTCAAAGCCACCTTGTCCCCATTTCTGGGCACCCTGTCCCCCATTTCTGGGCACCCTGTCCCCCATTTCTGGGCACCCTGTCCCCCATTTCTGGGCACTGCTTCTCTCTCTGCCTCTCTCAAGCAGTGCCCACGCTCCCCTTGGCTGTGGCAGGTGCATTCTGCACACAAAATTAATTATAAATGGCACTGAAATGACTCTTTAAATCCTCCAGCTTTTATCAGAAAGGTTGGCATATGAAGGCCTGGCTCTTCCCTGCTGCTCCTCTTCCTCAGCTTCCAAACACGTGTGACTGAGATTTTTTTTTCCCTGGGTTAAGCTGAGCCACCACAGGGTGCCACAGGGATTCAAACACTGCTCCAGGCCCCTTCAAATCTTAGTGCCCTCAGGTGTTGCCTGCATTTTTAATTAAAGATCTATCATTGCAAAAATTATCAACGTTCCTCATAAAAAACCAAAATGGATTATTCACTTCACAGAGTTATTTTTGCAGAAGATCATTTGGGAAGGGCTTCACCCCAAACACGCCCTCGCTTTGGCACTTGCCCACCCACCACACACACAACTATTATTTACATCACTAATTCCTTTAAGCCTATTAAGGCAACAGCAACAGCCTGCAGATAATTTTTCCACCATGAATCATGTGACTATTGCCAACTTCCTCGCTCAGAAACAAGAATGTTTTAAATGACACAAAGCAAAATTATCTATAATCTGGCCCTGAACCTCACAGCAGATAAACAAGTCCATCTGTCAGTCTCTAAGAGTGGAAAGCATAAAAATTCCACCAAGAAAATGTCTCTGCTATTAAAAAAAACCCAAACAAACAAAAAACAAAACCAAATATGTTTATGACATGGAGATCAAGCAGAAAGCCTGGCTCCAGCAGCAAATACCCACTAAAAATGCTCCCTAGAAAATCACCTAATAAACATGAAGTTTTTCTTCTTTTTATATACAACTTTATAAGCAAATCTGCTTCTAGCATAAAAAAAGTATTCCCTTATTGTGTAGATACAGGAAGTATTTTGTATAACAACATATATTAGCAGCTCCTGAAAACATGGCTTTGTCCATGAATGTGGTTGAGAGGCTGGGACTGGGTGATGGCTAAGGACTCTTCCATCCAAACCAGTCTGGGATTCCACGATTCTGTTCATTCCCCTGGCCCAACAAGCCACAGGAGCTACTGGGAGCAATGACCATAAACCAAGATTTATTTCATCCCTCCTACAAAAGGTTGCCCCACTGTCTAAAATGATTCAGTCTTTACAAACAATTTTCTTCTCTCTTTTCTCCTTCCTGTCCTCACTGACCGAACCCTGGGGTCAGTCAGCAGCAATCCCTGTCTGTTCTCCCCAGAAATCCTCCTGCTGCTGCTTCCTGCACTTGGAGAGGTGCTGATTGGATTAAATAAGAATTAACAGAGCAGATCCTATCACTTACTGTGCACGTACTGTGATTGTGAGTGCTGACAAGAACATAACTTACTACAGCGCAACAAAAATAACACAAAGAAGGAAAAAAACTTTCATAACTAAGTAGATCATGAAACTAATTCAGTAAAAAGTAGGCTTTTTCTATTTTTGGGTTTAAGTCTAATTCACATTATTATTTACTGCAGTAGGATCCATCAATTGCATTTAAGAGGACATTCAGGGTCTCTTAAAGGGAAATATTATGAAAAGTACTTTCATAATGGCTCTGATTTTTTATTTGCCAGGACAAATTAATTCACAAAGTAAAAACAGCCAATAAAATGTATTTATATTTTCCCAGATTCACAGTAACTCAGTTCTGCTTCTCAATAATAAATACTAAAAGGCTGAGAATTAAAACTACATCTTCCAAATCTCACAAGCCAGATCTGCAAAGCCCCACAGATCACTAATATTAGAATTCCAAATTTAAAATAACCTTCCTCCATTTCCCATGTCCAAGTCTCTTGGAATCTTCTTCTCTTTTACAAAAAGAACTAAGTGCTGCACTTTTGAACATTAGAGTCCAGTCCCAACCCAAGGATGAAAGGCTCCACTCTGACATTTCCTCCCACTGCAGAAAAGATTAGCAATTTGTTAAATAAAGTGTCCATCCTATAAATAGCAGCATTTACAAGCACTTGTAAATCTCTAATTGCTCCTGCCAGTACAATTGCATAATGATCATCACCTGCCAGAGCTTCACCCCCATGCAGCTGCACTAAAGAGCTGCAACATTTTCAGCCACTCTTTCCATTAAGTGCTGCCACCTCAGTGCCACGGTGAGAACTTTGCACCTTGTATTTTGATCTCCATGCTGCAAAGATTAAAATGGTAACAAGTTATAGAGCTGCAGTTCCAGTAATTCAAGCTGGCCCCATAGAGGCCATAACATTTATTTATTAAAGCAAAACTTCGATGTTAAATACACTGGAATGTTCAGTATGAATTTAAGATCACATTCCTGATATAGGAGGACAATCGGCTGAGACAGGGATTCAGGAAAACACAGTGAGGGTCCTGGCACAGGTTGCTCCATCCCTGGAAATGTCCAAGGCCAGGCTGGACACAGCTTGGAACAACCTGGGCTAGTGGAAGCTGTCCCTGTCCATGGCAAGGGTGGCACTGGATGAGCTTTAAGAACCCTCCAACATAAACCAGTCTGTGATTAATTTATGGTAGAGTAAGATTCAACAGCAAAATGTTACTGTGTGTAACCAGGACAGAATGCACCATGATGGCTGTGGGGCACAGGGAGTCATGCTCCAAATTTTCTTGAATTCATGAGACAGAGATGTGTCTGGACAGAATGATTTGGGTAAAAAATTACATGTAATAATCTGTTTCCACAGCTGTCAGTCCATGCTA